ACTACAAAAATTAATGTTAACTTACGTTGCATCTGAAATGCCATACCTTCACAACTTTATGAAGTTTAATCACCAGACCAGCATACTTAAGTCCAACAGATTGATCAGGAGTAAGGCGACGGAAGCCCCTTTCTGACACCTAAAATAGACATTTGAAAATAAAGTCAAAATGTTTTCAGAGACAGAAAAATGGTTCAATTCAGTTTCAGAGAGAAACACAAACTGAGAAGTGTGTGAGTCATTGAGTGACCATCTCAATATTAGCTAATGAAGATCACTACATTTGAGCGTTACATGAATCATTACTTTCAATTGAAAAACTGAGATCTTCGTTAACATTAATCTAACCTCTTTGAAGTCTGTTTGTTCAATGAAGATAGTTTTCTCAAATGCAATCTCGTGACTCCCTTTACTTGGGTCCTGGGGGAAGTTTGGTACACTGAGCTTGACTTGCTGAGAAAAAAAATATAATATGTTTTTAGTTAATATTATCCCACATGATGACACCATTGATAATGTTTACCTAGCTTGGTTTAGAAATCATTGTACAGGATGTATTGTACATTGGTTGGAACAGTCAGTTGGCAGTCAAGTAGGTATTTCCAACCAGTGGAGATCTTGGAACATGTCGTTGGCTTTTACTTACATGTAAGGTCTGATTGTTGTTGTTGTCTTTTTTTTTTATATTCCCCAAATTTTAATTTTCCACTGAATTTTTCAGCTCTAATTTCATGAAATTTAAAGTACCCTAAATGAATAACATGCTGTGGTACCTTGTCAAAATTCTGGATTGTAACTTTAAGTGGTTCAAGCACAGCCATCACTCTGAAGAAAGAAAACTAAAAGTTAATAAAAAGAAATTGTAAAAACCTTGGGTTTGGAGAACATTTGGTTTGGTGACTGGTTTGGAGTATTCTATACCTAGGAGCAGTGATGTTTAGTTCATCTCGCACACAGGACTCCAGAAGCAGTGGATCTGTGACTGTCTGAGCCATTGTCACACCAACCTAGTAAAAAAATTAAATACAGTGAATAATACAATGATTTTCTATCTTTGCCATACTCACAGGGGTTTCATTCAGGGCCGGGCACTTGCAAATTGACCAGATCCAAGGATGATTTCGCCTGCCCTGTTTGACCAACTGGATGAAATTTTTTCTTGTAAAGAAGTTTTATTAGTTCAAAGGTTTTGCCTGCCTGCAAAAACCAGCTGCCTTCCTGCTGAAAACATTTATCAAAATCTTGAGTCGTCATCATCATCATCATCATCATTATCATCCTCATCATATTCATCCTTGTCATTGTCCACCTCTTCCTTCTCCTCCTCCTTCTCCCCCAGTTTTTGTTCATCTTCTCCTCTTTCTGGTCCTCCTCTACCATCCTACCCCCTTCTTCTTGCCTTGTTCTTGGCATCATCATCACCAATGGTATTAATACAAGAACTGAAATATCGATCACTGTTACCTTGCCACAGAATTTGTTGATAGCTTCAGGAGGAAAACCTCTTCTTCTTAGAGCAGTCAGAGTAAACAGCCTTGGATCATCCCAATCCCTGAACAAAGATCATAGTACATTCAAATAAAACTGTGCACACCACAATTCGACATCTAGCACTTTCATTAACTTAACCCACCTTCTGAAGGGAAAAGAAAAACAAAATAAAGCAGTATCCTTTGGTAGCAAAGACTCTGACTACTAAAACCACACATGTACATGACTTGTACAACACTTTCTTTGACTTTTGATTAATATTTGATGTCTTATTAACCCCTTAAACTATATCCAAAATAAGGAATTTGCTCACTGTACACAGTGGTCATTGTATACAGTGCTTTCATTATTAAATTTTTAGCATGTCCCCAGTCCCGTACACAATGAAAGTTAATCCTCCTGAAGGTGGCATAAAGCAGGTCTAAAATATCGCTCAAGTGTTTTGAAGTGTCTCAGTTAACTTTGTTACTTAAACTTTTCTCCTAGCTGGGGTTGACATTTTCTTACAATCCAGTAAAAGTTTGTCACTGCAGTAGAACCCTTTTTCTTACCTAACAATTCCTGACGTGATTAATTTTCCAATTTTTCTCTTGGACACAACAGTGTAACTCAAGTTCAACCTGCCATATTCCCACTGAACAGGGCAGTAAATGTCAAGAGCATTACACAGCCAGTAGTATGATGAACGTCTGTTAAAAAAAAACAGTGAAAGCAGTTAAAGTTCTGCGACATAACTAATTAAACCATGGCTGTCAAAGATAGAACTTGTGACTTATTACGTGTCTTGCCTATCAGTAATCTGTTGTTCAATTAACAGTCTGCCTGGATAAATTTGCATTAAAAAATTCTGCCTGCCCAAACAATTCTTACACTTGTAACATTCACAGGAAAGCATGCAAAAATACACATCTGTCCACCCCTATTCTGTTTTTGACTTGTTGCATGTGATGTTGTGCGTTAAGTTGGACTGTGTGTCTGAGCAAGAAGGAAGATACTGATAAGGACATCCAGACACGCATTGTGAGGACAAAGCAGACATTTGCGATGTTGAGGCACACCACTGAAAACCAAGAGCAAGTTGATAGTCTTTGAGTCAAATGTGAAGGCTGTGCCCCTGTATGATTCTGAAACTTGGTGACTGACGAAAGGATTAAAGCAGAAGTTGCAAGTGTTAAGCAATAAGAGCCTGAGGAATTGGTGGCCCAGACAAATAAGCAATGAAGAGCTTTGGAGACAAGCAGGGCAGCAACCGGTGGGGCGAGAGATAAGACAAAAAGCTTAGCACATGCTGAGGACACCAGACAGATACATAGCCAAGAGGGCCATAGAGTGAAACCCACAGGGGAAGCACAAATGAGGGAGACCCCAGCAGACCTGGAGGTACACAAGAATGGCAGAGTTGGAGAAGAAACAGCTCACATGGTGGGAAGTGAAATATACTGCACAAAAAGGAGTCAGGTGGTGGACACTAGTGGATGACCTATGTTCCGCCACGAACAAAGAGTATTGAGTGAGTGAGAGTGTGTGTCCAAACCTTGGGAAGTAAAACTTATTAGAACAGCTCAATAATGTAAAAGTCCAAAGGAAACATAGGGGAGAAGTGCTGTGACACAATTTAATTTGTACATTATTTTTACAGTACCCACCTGGACTGAAACTCTTTAGTGCAGAGTGAATGGGAGATATCCTCCACTGAATCACAGAGACAGTGAGTAAAGTCATATGTTGGATAAATACACCTGGAAATGTCACAAACTGTTAACGGCTTTCAAGTATTACTGCACTGATAAATGTCTATGATACAGCCTACTTGTAGATCCTAAATCCCCCTTTCTGCTTTCACAAGTTTTCAGTAACTCTTCTTGGTTGAATGTTGTTAGTTTCAAGTGAAACTGTTTTTCCTGAGAAGATTTGATCCTTTACTCATAACCAATGGATATATAGATCAAGCATTTTTTTATTCTTTTGGGATACTACCTTATGACTTTGTCTGCACCGCACTATCAGTTTCATCTCCAGGAAACCCCACCCATACCCTCTTAATTAGCTAAGTACCATTCATCTCCACTCCTGTGGTGAGGTGTGAATTTGATGCGGTATGCTACAGGGTCCATTTTGCCATCCTCCAGGGTGGTCTTCATCCGTAAGGTTGCCTTGAAGGGACAAAATAATTACAAAATAAAATTACAGTATTATGCAATAATATTCACAACCATTAATAACAATAACCATCTTATGGTTCACATTTTCTGAAAGTAATTGATCAAAATCTTGGAGTGAAACAAAATACAGTTTTGCCATATGCAAAATTGTACAAATTTAAATCCTTACCGCTCCTTCATCTATTTTTCCTTTTTTCATGTCCTAAAAGAGTGCAAGATAAAAAAATAATTTGCAATTACAAAAATGTAATCAAAGGAAATCCTAAATTAATAGTAGTTTGCAGCAGCATTACTAAATAAGGTGAACAGGAAACAATCACGTTTTTAGTAGTCCCCATGTGATATCATTATGACCATGATCATCACCATCATCAATCCCAGGTTTCCAACAGGGAAATAGAGCCTTGACCCCCTTGGGATAATATACAACTGTTACAGTGGAAGAGGTGTCCCCAGTTAGGTGTTCACAGTTACATGTAGTAGAGGGTTTCACCCTCAGCTTTTTTACCTAGGCACATAAATAAAGTTGTTGTTGTTGTTGTTGTTGTTGTTACACATCCAATAGACAAGGAAGAAACAAGAGTTGTTGAGAAGGTGGAAGATTAAGACAAATAACAAATGATGATGAAATTGAGATACTTAGGAATATTGTTTCAACAACAAACCTCAAAGAGCCTTAGTGACTCTTCTATTGGTCTATCCCTCCAGGGGCTGGGTGGAGGGTTGTGCCCCTTGATTTCTTCATATTGCTGATGGCAAACATAAGCATGTCCCCTAAATTGGAGCAAAATAATAACAAAATTAACAACTGAAAATAACTTGATTTTTTAGTATACCACACTAAATAATTATTACATGATCCTTATACTGTAAGAGGAATGTAGAGGTCAATATAAGTCTAAATGTATTATTGATAGTAATGTTATACTTCACAGTACTTTTTAAACATAACATGTGAAGCAAAAACTTATTATTATTGATAATTACATGTATCAGAGTGAGATTCCTCACTGGACAGGTGCCATAATATTTCAATTTGCACTGATCACACTAAATACCTTTTAATTAGTTCTACTGCAAAGTCATACAGCTTTCCAAAATTGTCAGAGGCATGAGTGATTTTCCAAGGCTCAAAACCTGAGGACAAACCAAACAGATTTCAATATGTACAATTCTGACAGCCAACTGACATCATCACTGCTTCCCAAATACAATGCAAGCTGGTGAAGAAGGGAGTGGAGAATACAGTCTTTAGTTAGACACTTTGCTGCCAGTCATTACTTAGCTCAACAGATACAGTGTAACAATAGGTAAAAAATAAGTCCTTTTCTTTTATATCATTTACCTAACCATTTGACCATATCCAAGATTCCTGTGAAAAATTTCTCCTCTTCTTTCTCCGGGTTGGTGTCATCATACCTTAGATAGCATACTCCATTGTTTGCCTGTGTAAAGAAAGAACGAGTAAAGCTGAGGTTTGTCTCAGGAAAGAAGGAGGGAGAGAGGATAGGAGGGAGGGAAGGAAGAGGAAAAGAGGAAGAGATGAGGGAGAGAGGGACAGAGAAGAGTAGGCAGGTACAGTAGGTGAGTGAATGGGTGGGTGAAACTTATTCCTGACCACTTCCCATAGCCAAAGGAGATGACAAGATTAGCTACTTCCCCTGGAAGGGATGCTAGTCCCTTGCAGGTTACCAGGGCTGACAATTTCCCAAATCCTATAGCAGTAATACCCTTCTTGGAGAGAACCAGTCTGTCTTGCCCAAGAACACAACACAACCCTGCTAAATCCAAAGTCTAACTTGCTAACCAAAACCATGGTCATAGCATCTCCTAGGTTCAAGCACTAATATCCATTCACTGGAAAACAAGGTTCTCTATTGGGTATGCGAGTGTTTTTCTGCACCATAAGACTCACCCTCGCATAACCAAAGTTGAAATTGATGGCTTTGGCATGACCAATGTGAAGAATACCATTAGGTTCAGGAGGAAATCTTGTTTGCACCTGGAGAAAAAAAAAAGTCACATCAGCATCTCTAGAATCATCATGAGGCAAACCTGGTTTGCACATACAATTCCAGAGTCAGGGCATGAATCAGGACCAGTCTTAATCTGGAGTCTTGTGCAGTAATGATTTTACATTTATTTACTATGCTTCCATGCCTCCTATTAATAAATGCACTTTCAACATATTTTTTAGCATTTACCCTTCCACCAGTTCTCTCTAAATGTTCCTTCAGCAGTGTCATAGTCTTTGGAGTCAACACATAACCAGGGGTCTTGAAGTTTTCCCCTGAAGAAGGACAGCACAAAAACACTAAATGTACCTTACACTTTAACTGAAAAGCAACCACTGTTATATATTAGCTAAGGGTTCCAATGGTCAAGATATTCTTTCAAAAGCTTCACCAAAAATGGCATGAAAATGAAAAAAATTGTGCTGATATTATTTGCAACAAATCTTAGATTTGGACTTGATAACTTTTAATCTCATCTCACTTTTAAAATGTTATATGATATATGTGTTGTTGAAGATTCAATTTAAATTGCACTAACAATTATATAGCTAAAGGTGGTTTCAGTAGGTGAGGTCACCTGGTTTGTGGAACTTGCTTGCCTCTCCAAACATAGTATTTGCCTCATCATCTCCAGCATCGCCATTTTCTGAAAAGGACAAAGTCAAAATATAAACTAGTTACTTCTATCCACCTTTAAGGAGGAGAACATACATTATGACTATGGTTACATGAACATGAACGGATCAAAGATTCCCTAGATGATTTACTCATATAATACCTTGCATCTCCGCAGGAGCTGCACGTGACTCCTTAGCTGTCTTTCCTTCTTTGCTGGGTTTTGATTCCTATGATATGCAATCAAAAATTAATAGCCCTGATGTCGATCAACATACATGTACACTGTACGAAATTGAAAATTTTCGCTTTGGACAATGTTGTCAATCAACAAACCAATTCCTTTCAACAATGTTGTAGTGGGTAGTTTTGTACATTTCTTACACCACTATGTTCATGTACATTTATTATGATAATAATGTTACCGTTGGTAAATAAATTATTAAATAAATATTAATTTCTCTTTTTCTCCAGTTCTTCTCATCTGATGAACTGCAACTTCTATAATTATGTACTATGTAAAAACTACAATGTACATTGNCCTAGGCCTGTGATCAACTGTGAGATTCCTGTATCATGAAGACACTTCTTCTTCCCAGATGGGATACTAACTAACTAGTAGATAATAATAGACAAGTGGATGCCTTTATAATCATCTTGAGAAACAAGAAGACAGGCTCTTTTACTTATTGCAGTCAAACTTCTCTACAATGGCCACCCAAAGAACAGAGTTAACTGACCACTATGGAGAGGTGGCCATTGCTAGGAGGTTAAAATACCGGTAAGAGCAAATCTCTCAACTGGGTCGAAAAGATGTGGCCACTATAGAAGTGGTTGTTGAAGGGAGGTGGCCGACCCTAATTATTATTTATGAGTACATATTTCTCCCAAAGGGCATTGCGTTTCTTAAGTCAGGATGAAGAAAAAAAAACTTTGGAACATTTACAAGCCATGCACCTTCATCTGCAAAAAATGTACTTACACAATCTTCAATTTGGTCAGGTGTGATAGTCACTCCAATGCCACAGCTGTTTTCAAAAGAAGCAACATTGACTGGCAAAACTGGATTAGTCTTCATATATTCCANGAAACAAGAAGACAGACTCTTTTACTTATTACAGTCAAACCTCTCTACAATGGCCACCCAAAGAACAGAGCTAACTGACCACTATGGAGAGGTGGCCATTGCTAGGAGGTTAAAGTACCGGTAAGAGCAAATCTCTCAGCTAGGTCAAAAAGATGTGGCCACTATAGAGGTGGCTGTTGAAGGGAGGCGGCCAACCGTAATTATTATTTATGAGTACATATTTCTCTCAAAGGGCGTTGCATTTCTTAACTCAGGATGAAGAAAAAAAAAACTTTCGAACATTTACCAGCCATGCACCTTCATCTACAAAAAATGTACTTACACAATCTTCAATTTGGTCAGGTGTGATAGTTACTCCAATGCCACAGCTGTTTTCAAAAGAAGCAACATTGACTGGCAAAACTGGATTAGTCTTCATATATTCCACAGCCGCTAAGCAATGAGATTAATTTAATTAACAAATAATTAATAAATGACTTCACTAACATTTACATGACTGACTAACAGAGAGACAGACAGACAAAAAGACAAACTGGCTAATGGACAGGTGGACAGAGGGACAGAGGGACAGTAGGATAGATGGATAGACAGCTGGATGGACAGACAGATGGACATACGGCCAGACAGATGGCCAGACATACAGACAGACCAATAGACTGACTGACTGACTGACAGTTGGATGGAGGGGATGGAGAAAAGGAAGGATGAAGTAGCCAAAGAAGG